GCCAAATTCTGTGCAAGGGACGAGCATAACGAATAACTGTATACCCAAGCAAGCAACCCAACGGAACCAGAACCAGAACCACAACCAGCACCAACTCCAGCTCCAGCGTGAACAGCTTATCACATCGACAAATGGTCGATCTGCGTGCCCCGCCCACTGCTCAGCTGCCAATGATGGGCTGGCCGCGCAAGAGAAAGAACTCTAATCCCGAAAGCGATAGCTCCACGAGCACCTATCGATAGGACAGTTAATCGATCGATCGATCGTTCCTCCTCCGATAACAAAAGAACTCAAGTCAGAGACGAGTCTGACCCTGAAATACGATCCCATCGATACACCCACACACATATACACACACCCGTACAAATAGCCAAGGCAGAGTGAGAGTGAGGGAGAGATTGAGAGAGAGAGAGATAGAGAGCATCAATTAAAGCCATATACCAATTGAGCTTTGGTAAAACACTCCGCGCTGCTCCGCTCTGTTTAACAAACCATGTTAGATATATTTCGTGGATTGAAAAACCTTGTAAAGGTCAGTCACGTTAAAACCGATTCGATAGTATTCCGCCTGCACTACTCAATAACTGTGATGATTCTGATGTCATTCTCGCTAATTATAACCACACGCCAATATGTGGGTAATCCAATTGATTGTGTACACACTAAAGATATTCCAGAGGATGTTCTCAACACATATTGCTGGATACAGTCGACGTATACGCTGAAGAGTTTATTTTTGAAAAAACAAGGCGTTTCGGTGCCATACCCCGGTATTGGCAATTCCGATGGCGATCCAGCCGATAAGAAGCACTATAAATACTATCAATGGGTATGCTTTTGCCTATTTTTTCAGGTGAGTCACGAACGGATGTAAGCGGGAAATTCGATAGAGTTTCTTAAACTCCAAAACTAACCGCATTTGGAATACAATATAATGGAATATAATTTATATATACGAGCCGATATATAGTTCAATCTGTCTTCGATATTGGTATAGAATATCAAATCTTAATAAGAATAATGGAACTTTTTTCTTCATTCCAAAGTTTAGGGTTATATAATAATCAGAGATATATGATCTATCTATAGGAAGTTGCATCTTTTTATTCATCTCTGAAATACTCTCTAGCTATAAGGGCATTCACTCTTCGGCGTGTCAGATATAAGCAGATTTTCATTCTGAAATCTATCTCAATTGCTTTTGATGAATGTAAATTTCAATTTCTTTTATCTAACATATTCATATGAAATATATATATATATTAGCTATAACCGAATCGAATTGATAAACAAAAGTGGCTGGCTAACTTCATCGGAATCATCACTTAGCTTACAGGAATACCCCTCATGTGTGTGGGCAGAGCAAGTGCTTTGTTCATATGGGGAACCAGTTCAACTCGTTTATGCACTGACTCCCAGATTCGAATCTTGTCATGGGGCGATCATAAAAATTTGATATATTGACTCATTAAAGCATAGTGTATACAGTGTATACATATGTATGGGTGCTGTCCCGGATGGGGGGGACGGGTTGAAGTGGTGTGCCCAGTGATATGCCTACGTACTTATTTATATTTATCTACATTTCTATGAGTGCGCGTGTTTTTTATACTCAATACAAAATTGAAATTTCCAAATATTTGTTCTACTTAGTTTTTGTTCTGCTTCTTCATTCCTGTGATTGCTGTTGTTGTTGTTGTTGGCGTGGCTTTGAAATGTAAGATACTTGTATGCGTATGCATGGCCCATGAAATGAAAATGTTTAAACATATCCGTATTACCCGATTTGTTGCTGTTGCGAACATTTCACTTACGCTTGCCCAAGGCCAGCACCACCAACACCACCACCACCACCAGTTGACTGGGCTCTGTTGTGACGTATGTGGATACACATGTCTGTCCGCCTGTCTGTCCGTTCGTCTGTCGGTCTGTTTGTCTGTTTGCTTTGTTTGTTTATTTGTTGATCGAATCGCTTACCAAATTTCAAATAGTTCCGCCATATCTGAAGTCCTTTGCAGCTCATCACTTTCCTGTTCGAATACTTTCAAGATTATCAGAATTCTTGGAATGCTATACGAAATTCAGTTAATAGTGCTCTAATCGGGAGTGCTAGACTACGGAATACCCTGAACTCTATAGAGAGATTAAGTTTAACATCTAGTTTAGTCTTTGCGATAAAGGCACTAAAAGTTAAAAGTTCATTTGTTCTTCTATAGAATAATCGTTGTGTGGAACTTTTGCTTTATTCTTAAACTTTCTGAGATCTAGGCACGAATATATGAAATCGCTTGACTGGACTTTTTCAGTTTTAAATCTGCTTGAACAATGTATAAAGCCAAAATCCTATTGGCTTTTGTTAATTATCGATTGATTAAGTAATCGATAAATTGATTAAATATATCTTGTTAATGGATAATATACCATTAAGATTAGATCATGACACTATATTACAAATCTGCTGAATATACTAAAAACTAACATAGCAATCGGGCTTACTACTTACTTACTTACTTACTACTATTACTGACTGCAGTATACTCATTCGTGATCAAACGCTACCATTGAAAGCTATAGGATTTTTTGATTTGCCACGCCTCCAATTGGAAGTAGTGCTAAATTTTGAGCAAACTAATAGAGGAAGTCAACAGTGACGTATTCATTAAATTTGAAGCATTTTGAAAACTTCAAAGCATGGAAAATGTAGCTAATCCCGACTGTCCACGTCTCAATAGACTATTTCTATTGATTTTTATTTTTCTAAATATTTTCGCGACGGTAGCGGAAATGAGAGTCAGTGGCAAGTGGGCAGCGGCAAGTGGGCAGCGAGATGGACACTGCAGAAAGCCAATATACTCTTTTCACTTTGCAAACGGGTATACAAATAGTTTGGTTCAGAAATTAATGAGCTTACCTTACGTAATCCCTTAACTGAACAATAGAAGTAACATGTATGGCAATTTGACTCGACGGTATGCGATTTCGAGATACCGGTACCCATGATATAAGCAAATACATGTGCATTCGGAACACACATAGATCTTACGTATACTCCATAGCTGTACGCTGGGACGAGATGTGCTAAGGATCAATATCGAAATTGATCATCGAACAAAACAATATTATCGATGTATAAGTGCAGGCTAAATCGACTTGGTTTTTAATCTTAACTGAAGAATATGGAACTTATTTTTTTGTAAGTTTTTCTTTTCTTTTTTTTTTTTAGCAATTTTTGACAGAAGATTATCCCCAGCAATTGAATTAGGAGCATCATGAACTCCTTTTAATCTTAACTTGGGAACACATATAATTTAAAGAGTTCCATGCTTCTCAGATTTTAATATATGATCTGATTTTTAATTTCAATGTCAACTGAATTGAATTGACTAAATCGAGGCGCATTGCGCAGGTGGACCAGAACAGATCTTACGTGAACGGAGATCGTTTTGGGCTTACGGCTTTCTAGCTTGGCAAACAGAATGCTGCTTAGGGGTAATTGTCTTAAATTTAGCTGAACCAATTCAGTGAAATATTTCATATTTTATATTTCATGTTCGAATGCGAGCTCACTTTAACACATAGTATATAATGGATCTGAAATTTGTGCCCCATTGTTGTTCTACTTGCATTTTATGACGTTGCTCTGCCATATGTCTCGAGTGGAAAGACAAGGCAGGGGCCAGTGCAAACTGGGGTCGAGACGCGGGGCCCCCCAACGATTACACAATAATATATCTTCCCGCTAACAATGTACCAAATATTAAATGTATATTTTTACCACACTTTTGTCGCAGTCGCCATTCGGTTCTCTGTGTGTTTTCTGCCTGTTGGCCGATTGAGGGGTTAAGAGTGGATGGTGGACGGGGGGCTGGGGGCGATGGGGAGCGTCTGGTGAGCATACGGCTTCGTTTTCTCGGTTAGTGTCACAGCGGCGATTATAGACGACGCCGTCATAGTCACCCAAATACCTATAAATACATTTATTATGGTATTCTCCCTGCTTAATGACGCGTGAACGGCGTTTCTATAATTTACACATTTTCCATTCTGCTTAATTTGTGGATTTATTAATAAAGACGACGGATGCGACCTGAAATCGAATGCAGTTCTCAGCCCAAAACGATCAGACAATATATAGTCATACATAAATAAGTATGTATTTATATATATTATGTATGTGCAYGTGTGTGTGTGTATAATTGTGTGTGCATATGTACTGTGCATAAATAATAAAAGTCAACGATCATAAATGCCACGAGAAAACAAGCAAAGCTATAAATCTGTAGCCAACAACTACATAGTCGAGTGAACCAATATATAAATATGTAGGTATATAAATATATATATATATATATATGTATATGGATATACCTATCTATAAATATACATATATGGAACTTTATGGAACACCTGACATCAACTTCAAATATTCGAAAATACCTAAATAGATGCATAAGCATCTGTGGACGTACGTAGTGGCACAATTGTGATCTCAGGACCTCGTTCATAATTGATCAGTTGGGCGGTGGCCAGGGCGGGGTGGTGGCGGTGGCGGGTGTTCAGCGATCGGCAGCGATTATCTGGAGATCAACAATTGGATCGCCCACGCTAATGGCCAGGCCATTAACTTGGACAATGCAGCTATAAAGTTTAAAAGCAAATTCTGCCTTGCAGCAGGCGAACATGTTCAGCATCCCTTCCACCCACCTCCCACCTCCAGTCCACCCCACTGGCACTCCCGTTCCCATTTACCATTTCAATTTTCATGATCGTTCTCTTTCATTTCCAATTTCATTACGATTTCGATATTGATTCCGGCCCCGATCGGCTCAAATCGATCAAGCGCTCCCCTCAAATATGTCAAAAATTGAAATCTGCTTTCTTTTTTTTTTTTTCTTCTTTTCTTCTCTTTTTTTTGCCTATCTGGATATTTATTGAAAAGGCACAGACAAACATAAAAGTGAACAAATAATAATTCTGGCCAAATGCCAGCACACAGAAACAAAAATCTGGCCCGAATGCCCAGCAGCGGGAGAGCGGGGAAAAGCAATGAGTTGACGCTGGGGGGTTGGAGTCGGGGCTGGTGCTGGTGCTGGGTTCGGCTTGGGAGGGACGGGCTGGCAACGTGACGCCGCTGACGACGGCTGGCGGACTCCCCGCCAGAGTTGGAGCATTGGACATGTGTTTATATTTGACTTATGTGTATTTATTTTTATGCACGCGTGCGAGAGTGGGAGAAGCCAGCACGGAACCAAGAACCGGGCACCGAGAACCGGGCACCGAGAACCGGGAACCGGGATCAGGCAGCCGGCAACGCAACTGGCGCACTCGCCTTCGCACTCACAGGCGCAGTCGTCGCTCTCCCCAGCCTCCCACAAGCCGAGCACTAGCTTTCGCACAGCCCGCCCACGCACTGGAGCCATGCTACATATGTAGTTATGGGTCTGTTTGTGCTTGGGCTGCTTGGGCTGGTGGGGCTCCAGGGCCACAAGACGTTCGCTGGCGCGCGACGTTTGCCTAATTGAAAATGCAAACTTCTCTTTTATCCTCAATGCACTGCGCACAGTGGGGCAAGTGTTACGGGGCATGAAATTAATTTGGGTCTTAAATGCTTTTGGCAAATGGAAATAATGAATGATTGATCAGTAGTTATTTATTATTGATGAAATAAATTATGAACGCAAAAATTAGGAATGTTAAATAAATT